TTTTTTTTTTTTTTTTTAACTCTTCTACATTTCACACACATTGAAAAAGAAATAGGGAAATATGATTTCCCAATTCTGTCGAATAGGTTTAGAAAGATAGTGGCCTAATTTTAATTTTACCAGTGCCTATTAAAAGTAATAGAATAAATAGCTTGTAAAAGGATATAACTTTTTAACAAATTTAGTTGATAACCTAATCAAACTGTAAATATAATGACAAATTAAAGTTCTTAGCACCAACTCTCTAGTTGGTGCCATGTTTTAATTTTTCTTGTTAGTTTTTAAGGTTTTGATTTTATTACTTTTTATATCTCTAAATAACTTTTGAAGGAGAGTTAGAGAAAGTTTAAGATTTTACTACATGTATTCAACCTTTTAGATAGGTTCTAAACTGACACTGAAGCATGACAAGATATAGATTACAATCCATAACTATTCTTTACAGTTCACAGTTTAAGAACAAACTTAACTTTATATACAAATAAATTTAACTAATTATATTTAGTTGTTGCTTTAGCAACAAAACTACAACATGGCTACCTTAAGACACCTTTTTTGGTGAAAATTTTACTTGTAAACTATACATGGTTTTTGACAGTATGAGCATGTAGAAGATACATCTCAAATCTCAGAAAACATATATGGATGATTTTCTTTTTATCCCAAATTCCCATGTGAAAGCTGAATTTGTGTCCTTGTGTGACTTTTTCATCAAAAAGTTTACAAGGCGTGGATTCTAAAATCAGACTTTATAGCTTATAGAATTTGTGTAGATAGGGTTATTCCACAGTATTTAGACTCCAAAACACAATTGTGGTATTTATAATACATTACCTGACCTTTTTTTCATAACTTCATTTATTCAAAATTGTTCAAGTGGCATAGCTGTAGCTGCAAAAATTCTCCTTTCTGGAATTACATACTTACACAAGTGAGGATTAATGAATGATGAAAGCATATTATGAAATTAATTCATTTGTAAGACCATGCATAAAGATACTGTGGAATGACCCCTTAACAGTGTTTAAGAGACATATGCTGCAGTTAACTGTCTCAGTTAGGGTGCGAATGTGTGAGACACACCTTTTTTGCACTTATGTACATAGTCCATGAAAGCAATCGTTGGAGCTTTTTTTAAAAAAAAATATAAGAAGTCTGTGAGAATAGTGGAAAAGTTAGTAAGAGAGAGTTATTTTTAAGGCTTTGAGAGGGTGGGATTGTTTTGCTATAAGACTTAATGAAAACATGATGTTGCCTCACTGTTGCGGAGACTTTCTAGTTTGCTACAGCTGACCAAGAGAGTAGACTGGTAACAGGAAACAGCTCAGGTAGCAGCACTGAATAAGAGTAAAGGTTATTCATCTCTTAGCAAGACCACTAGCAGAGAGTGCTTTAAATTAATCCTCAATCCTCGCTGTAAACACACACACACACACCCCAGGCAGGTTTCTAGCTGAGGGTTTTTTTCAGTAGTTGCAAGTAGTGAAATACCCTGTAAATTCCAAAGTGAATGTTCCATTATGATCAAATTAGATTGTTTCTTTCACAGAAATTATCAATTGCTATATATATATATATATATATATATATAAATAAATTACATGTAATTGTAATTGATCAGTTACAAATATATGTAACTGATATATATACCAGTTACATAACCTAATATCTATGTAAATGACAATCAAATAGTTAACATTTATCATGAATTCCCCTTTAAGATCCAGGACCCCAAACCAAATTGGCAACCATTGAAAGACTTAATTTAACAGTTAAGTATGGCCAGAATGTGGCATTTCATTCCCTTCAACAAGGGAAAAAATGCTCCTGGCACAACTTTATAAAAGGCTTTATTTGCCTTATACCTACCTGATCAGTCAAAGCTGTTTTCTGACTTAATCTTTACCAGATTAGAAAGTACTTCATTGTGCCACTTCAGCCTCCCACTGTTTTAACAAAACAGAAGAGAATCAGGCAAAAACTTAGGAGCTGGAAAAGAGATGTTTCAATCAGACTGTCTCTACCAATTTCAGCTCCCACTTTACCTACAGATCACCATTTAATTTTTTGTTGCCTCCAAGAATGAGGTCTAGAAAAGGTCGAGGTTAGAAACGTTTAAGGATAGATCACCACAGGTACTTTGAGTCCTTCACATCTTGGGACTTGTTGCCCTTGCCCTGGAGAAGGAGCCCCTACTGGGGTTGAGGGAGTTATTAGTATTGTTATCCATTTTGATAGTTCTCACAGAAACAGGAAAATAAGCCAAAGCTAGAAAGCAATCCAAGCCTTACAGTTGTCCAATAGCTCAGGGCCAGTTGGCTATAAATTTTTATTTTTCCCTTCAGCCCATATTACTTAGAGTCAACCATACAAAGAAATGTTACCTTTAAATAGAACTCATCCTCAATTATAGTGCTATACCTAAAAGAAAAAAAATGTATTATGTTGAAGTGAATCACAGCTATTCGCAGATACTGCAAAGATCGTCACTAGTCATCTTTTACATCTTATTACTTTAATAACATAAAATACCTCTGTAAAAAGACCTAAAAGTAACCCAGTTTTAAGCAGTGCTCTTTTTTCCCAAAACACACAACCTAAATATTTATCTGTCATACAACTGCATGATTTCAAAGCTTTATTTGTGTATACAGATGCTATTTGTGATGAAAACCAGATTATTTTGTTGATGTCTTCTGTGTCTAGCAGTTGAGAGAATGATGTAACTATCACATCATTGGATTCCGAGGTTGCCCTTTTCAAAATAAATTTCCTATTATTGTTTTTGTTGTTGTTTTAATTATTAGAAAATGAGCCATTTGTAATGTCCACTAATTACAATAATTTAAATTAAGATATTTTAAGAAGATGTTCTTAAATGTATTCTTTTTTAAGGGCTAACTCTCCACATTTATATTACAACAATCCAGTATGATGTAGAAAATGGAAACATGTATTTTGGGTAGAAAATGTCAATTTAAAAATACTTATAGATGAGAAAATTATTAGCCCTGTGCAACAATTATAGATTTTGACCGCAATATTTCAAAAATATAAATTTTCCATAATATTTTGCCTCCAAAATGCAATAGCTCATTCCCTCAACTGCTATCAATAGGGCAGATGCTTTGATTTTTATGTTTTTTTCCAAGTTATAGTGCTGTATTGCTTTTTTGTGTTTAAAGGTGTGCATTATGCAACTCATTTTAGTATGCTATTTCTATGTTTATTTTTTGGTCTTTTAATAAAATGTTAAATTTCTTGATTGTCTTTTTTTATGAATCCATATTCACACATTAGGAGTTCACTTAAAAGCTCTTCATGTTCTAGCATATTAATTATAATGTTTTGTAATTCTAATATAAAATTTAAGCTTGTGATTTGGTTCAATGTTATATTTCATATATAGAATAAATTTATTTCCCAATATACCTTCAGTATTTTGAATTATATAGATAACACACCCATTGTATTAGATGTATTATTCCTATGATAGTGAAGTTACCAACACTAGAAAGACACACTTATATTTTAGTAAAAGAAAATTAAAAATTTTGAGATAATGCTTACTGGTTTCTATTCCACTTCAGAAATTGAGGCATACTCAAAGATACATTATTAAATGTTTATATTTTCCACTTATTCATTTCTACCCTGCATCTTCAATGTAACATATGAAACCAGTGCTGTTCATTTTATTCTTCTAAAGATGGACATCAATGTTTTCATAACAATGGGATGCATAGATTTTTTATTAAAATGTTTTCTCTCACTTAAAATTGGTTTCGCCCAATAAATGACAGAGGAATGAACGGGTAATCATTTTAGGTTTTTAAGAAGTGAAATGTAATTTGGTAATACTTGATTCTGTCAGATTTCTAAATACTTAAAAACATTAATTGTGAACTTCTCATTGGCCACCATTGGATAGTGGGCCTGATAGAAAACTGTGATGAAGGGGCTTTGGATGAGAGGTTGTGACAGAATAAAGTATTATTATTCATACATCTGTAACAGTGAAAGAGGGCAAGGAAGAGGTTGGGTCCCAGTCCAATATTAACTGAATCATACAGAGTTACTATTT